GTATTTGTTCATTTAACAAAAGATAAAGTTTAATTAGGAAAGGTTAGGAGAGGAATGAAAGGTAGGCACTTATGTCGAGAGTTTCTGAACGAATTGAAACTTCTTGATTGGAAACTTTCGTAATTAATCTCTTGCAATTGCAGCTGGTAGCTGGTAACTTTGTAAGGTGTCGTGTTTTGTTTCCCTTTAGTAATAGTTTTTGATGATCTTCCCTGGGTGTTCGACATTTTGTTATATTGGTGGATTGCTTTTACTAAGGGAAGCCTTTGACTACTGTCAGAAAACTTGATGGCAAATGTTCCGCTAAGCGTCGGTCACGTCGCGGAGAACCTAACGGGTTACCGGGGCTCCGGCTCGACGTGCAGGAGAAGGAACGGGGTGGTTTTTAGTCAGTAAGAGTCTGACACTCCCTTCCGCCTCGCCCAGGCGGGAGCAGTCATTCGAACATTTTACCCCCCTTAAAAAAAGCGTCGGTCACCAATAACCGCCACGCCAAGACGGCGTGGCGGTTAACATGTTCGATGTAGAGACCTGGATTTGGAAAGGGAACAAATGAGCTGATGAATTATCTACCTGATAGTAAGCCGGTACCGCCCTTTGGTACTAGGCAACCCCAGAAGTTACAAGTACGTTGTACGTTAACTCAGATGCATTACTTTATATCTGAGTAGTGTTAAACATTGTTTCAGATATGTCATGTTCAGGTTATTTTACATTTAATACGAGATAACCATCGATTCATGAGGGATAGATCAGTAGATCTTTGTTTAGTAGTGAACATCTTTCAGCTAATGGAGACCATGATGAGGTAAGGAACCTTTCTTGGATACGTCAGTAACCTAGAGTATATATAGGTACCTACTAACATCAAATTGAAAACCTCATCTACAGAATATATCAAATGTTTTTTTTAAAAAAAAACGTTGCCCTACACTAGGATTTTCTCCTGTATCGTGGGTGCGTTCACAAACATACAAGTTCATATACACATTACATCCAGACCCAAAAGAACAATTTGTGGATCCCACAAAGAGTTGCTCCGTGGGATAATCGAACCCGCCGGTTGCCCAGCCACCGCATTAATAGTGTTGTCAATTTCCTCTTATTCGTTGGAAAGAAGAAATCTTAGTCCAATTCCTTTTCCCGTAATTAATGGGTTCCTAAATCAGACAATAATAGCCTTTTATTGCTTATCTGCAATAGTTCATTACCAACCCGACCCATATGTGTATTTTGACTATTTGTCCTTTTGTCTGCAGGCCCTTTGGGATCAGTTTCCGAGGCTCCAAGGGTCCAAGGACTTATGCAAACCCTATCAAGGAGTATGATATGAGTGATAACCAGTTTAATTAAGTTAGTTTTCAATGGAGGATATCAAGAATCGACATCCCCCTTAGTAACTCAGGATAACATGATATTGACGTCCTTTTTTCCGAGAAGAAGTAGGCAAAAGTGGTAAAGATGTGCGATGTAGCTCACACACTTCACCACTTGTAAATCCTATGTAATAAGGGGTTAGCCTATTAGAGTAGGTACATTTCAATACTCAGTTCATGACAATAGGTTAACCATAAATATAAACCATTTTTTTAAGAGGTAAAATCATCGAATGATTTCTCCCGCCTGGGTGAGGCGGGAGGGAGTGTCAGACTCTTACTGACTAAAAACTATCCCGTTCCTGCTCTTCGAGCCGGAACCTTTGTAACCCGTTAAGTCTTCCGCGGCTCCGCAATATTTTTTACTCAGTCGTCTCCAAATAGCACATCCTGGCACGACACCACCTGGTTCGGCAGTTGCAACGGCGACCAGTCGACCATCGAGTGCATTTATAACTCACAATAAATAAATATTACGCACACAATAGGTAAACAATACAATGTATGTATTTATATACATGCTATTATGCAAACCTGTTTACTATTTGTCATCAACAGATCGTTACTATATTAAGAAATATATTATTATAATATTTTATCGATGAAAACTACAGTTATAAGTAGGTAATATAAACCCGTAGAGAACGTCTAATTGTAATTATTGAGTACCTAAGTGAATCAATAATTACAATTAGACGTTATTATGGAACAGGAGCCAATGAAAACCACGTGATGATTTAAAAAATGAATGATTTGAATTAATTTTGTTCGTATTTTCAATGCTCTGACATTTAATAAATGGTTCCTCCTTGCAAACCGCCAGCTTTACAAAGATAAGAATAATATAGGTTAGAAATAATATTATTAAATATTCAAATACCTAAACGACATTGTAATATAAATATCAGTTACATTTACATTCATACTAGAAATATTTAATTCAATTGTTACCTGTTTACTATCACGAATTTGTTCAACAGTCGGAATGTTTAAATCAATCGATTCTAAAATTAGATAGGAACTTCTTCGTAAAATTATCTACTCTGTGGTGTAGATACGCGTTGTTATAGTATTTATTTAAAAAAATCGTAAGCTATATCGATTCTGTATTGTGTCGGCATCTGTCAAAATTTTTGACAGATCGAATTGAGTTTCTCAAACTTTTGTTTCAATCACTGTAACTACCAGAGGTGTCTATTTGATTTCCCGGAAAACAGTTTTTGTTTATGCCAGAAGTCGTGTTTCACTTAAAAAACAGCAGACTAAATAGAGAATTGTTTAGACAAAGAAATCCTTCAGTTCGATGGAATTTTACATGTAAATCAGTCAGAGAGGCACTCGTTAAAAGACACCATTACTACTGTGCAATAAAACTAACGATCCACAGTCCGATCGCAACTATACATCAACAAACAGACAGACAAACAAACCCGGTATGGATTGAACCTATTAACAGCGCATTGAATTGTCGAAACGTGACAGCTTAAAAGATTATCGCCATACTAACCTTATGAATGTGTAGATTTCGCACTGCCGGGGCCACGACACACACAATAACAATTGTCAACGTCGCGGTATACACAGGAATAGTGTTTATTTGATTTAGGTGAGGTTTTCTGTGTTATCACGCGGCCGCGTTGTTCCGCACTCGCGGTGAGAGACGCTACCGCCGCGGAGCGCTATCGCGGACTGTGGCGCCGAGAGCTGCCGATGTGTGGCTGGATGGGTCGGCAGGCCGCGACACCGCGCATGCGCGCCGGCCAAGGTCATGCGCGAGAATACCGCTTGTGTACAGGCGCCGTGTTTACACACCAACTATGACCACTACAAATAACGCCGCCACCATTGCGCATAAAGTACCCGCGATGTTTGAATTATGAGATTTATGGCGAGTAATGTACTGGTACGGAGGTCTGGTGCACAGTGCTGGAGCATTGGGGCTCTGTTCAAGTTATCAGCTGCACTGGGAGGTGTCGGCGGTTATCACCACGCCCACCGCGGACAGCGAGCGATTATCTCACTAGTTGAAGAGGAAGTCCTCGGCGATAAGCAGCACAAAATATTTCCTTCACAGTCCATTAAGCTGGTTTTTGTTAAACCTACAACTTTATTAATCTGTTAATGTCAGGAAGTCACAGTACAATTATAAAACCAATACTGAATCAAACTTTTTGAACAAAACTCATGAATATGTATATATGGCTTTAAATTTATAAAATACTACTAAAACATTAATAACAAACAAGTACTAATTTTAATTTATCTTTTTATAGCGCAATAAACCAATTTGTGATTATTCTCTTACAAAAGTCTTGATGGCATGATTGCCATCTTTAAGTAAGGCACTTAAAATCTGTGCCTAACGGACACAGACGACGGATCATCCGGTGATAAAGGATCAGCAGACCTATGAATATCCTCAACACCAGTAGAGTTACAAGTGCGTTTCCAGTCATTGACAGTTTAAGCACAAAACGGGTTAATCTAGATTTTGAATAGAAAAGAATTAAAAGTAACTGTAAATATAAATAAATAATATATTTGATACAAAACCTCCACCAAAATAAAACTTAACAACAAATCCAATATATTAACTCTCTTATACATATTCCTAAGAAATAACACAATAACAGAAATATAAACCCATGGGGTCAGTACTTCAATAGCTCTCATAATTATGATTTCATAATGCGTAGAAGATTCACTGATTTTGATTCTATCATATATGTATAACCAGATTATCATGAATTCAGACTAGGAGCTTATTCAAAAATCCAGTTATTAATCCTTTAACAACTCAGCACATATATAATTAGAGACTCCGTCTTAAACAGTGGCGTTTGCTACCACAAGATCAACGAGACAATAAATGATATAAATTAAACTAAGACAAAACAAAGTACAACAAAAACTCAAAAAATAAACAAAAAATAAATAAATAAAAAGTTTGAGATCCACAGACTCATAGTCTGAATCAACTACGAACTTACCTAATTCATAAATTAATAATAAGTTATTAATAAATAAGTTGGTAATACTAAATAGAGACCATTCGTTAATTAAGAAAAATAACTAGAGTCGTCAAAGAAATGGCAGAATTTGATACTCAATATCAATCCAAAATCAATGAGTCCATGTTTTTGACAGAAAGTCAATAGAACTAAAGTCGAAAATCGACACAAATTTAAGATTTTGCAATGAAGTTAGTCACTAATTCAGCAGTACCGACAATTCATTCACTTAATATAAAAATAAGCAAAGTTACAACCTTGATCTCACCTTAATTTAAAAATAAAAACTTTATATTTAAAATCATAAACCTATTCTACTTATCAAGTCTGTTATTCCCCAAGGCTTCAGTTACTACATAGGTTACAATTACACAATGAATTTAAAATAAAAAGTCAATAAAGATTTATCATAAACTCATAATCGCAAACGAATATCAACCTTAAGACCTCAAAGAATAACAAGACAGTATCAATCTAATAAAATATCACAACACATTAAAGTGTTTGATCACGAACATTAAAGGACAACTAAAATAAATAAATATGAATAGAAAACTAAACCACAAAAGAAAAGCAATAAGAATCAATATTGCATGTAAACTGGTCCAGCCATTTACAAATTTTCGTCGAGCAATTGCATTTTTCGTTTCATTTTCCACCTTAGCAACCGTTTTGCTTGCGGTATGGCGGTGTCATGCTCATCCGTGCAATGTCTTTTTAGTTCAGCATACTTTCTGAACCTAGACCCACACAGCAGGCAGTCAACGATTGCCTTCCTGACATTATGCACCGTCCATTCATGGTCCCATTTCTCCTTCAAACTTTTGAAGTAATTACGGCAGAACCTACACCTAAACTTGGTAGTCGACATCTTAGTATGAGAGCACCTAATATGTTTGTTAAGCATGGATTCGAAATGGAACACCTTGTCACAATACTGACACTGAATAGGATTTGTATTGTTATGATACTCCATGTGTTGAGTGATCATTTTCTTCGAATTAAACTTACGTTGACACAAGTCACATTGGAAGTACGTGGTACCGTGGATTTTCTTGTGTTTAGAGAAGTTGCTGGAATCACTGAAGGATTTATCGCAGAAGGTACATTTGTAAAGGGTGAGTTTAGCATGTTCCCTAAGGTGAGCCTTATACCTGTCTATTTTAGTGAATACCTTCTCCTGGCAGATCTCGCAGCGGATGTTGAGGACCCCGAACTTGTTGACTGGGTTCTTCGCGAGGGTGCTTCTTATGACGTGCTCGATCAAATGTCTCTTGAGGTCACCGATCCGATCAAACTTTTTCAAACATACTTCGCAGGTCTGGAAGAGAAACCATGTTTTAAAAAAATTAAATAGCATTTAGGTTCGAAATATATACACCTGGTTTATCTCAAAAGCTGAATTGGATGAGTATGTATGTACACTACATTCATTAAGATGGATACATAAATACTACAATGGTTTCTAACTACATAACTCATAAGGCTAAGAATACAGCACATTCAACCACTGTCAACCTCAATGGAGAAACAGACATACCAGTAGCTACTTAAGCACCTCAGGTGGTACGCCATTTAAAGTAATGTCAGTATGTACTGTACACATTACATACAGGTCGATGAAATAGTACCATTGCGACTCCACATCGACGCTACTAAGTACAGAATACAATGGACAGTTAAGATCTGATTATATCACATCAGACCTTATACATCCACTGGTGAAACATAGATTTGGTACAAGACCATTACAGTGACTTGACCTCCAGGAAAATTGACTTAATCGCCAAATTGTAGAACAAAAGCAGGAGTCTATCTTGATTGATCCAAAACGTGTACCAGTAAGATGCAGCAACCACGGCATCTTACCTTAAATTTGTGATAAGTAAAGATAATGTATGCATGTAAGAGTGAAAAGAAAAATAATTACCTTATTGTACTTCCGCTGTTTCTTGCTCTTACTACTGCTCGTCGAATTGCTTCGAAATATCTTGTTGGACATCACTTTAGCGATCACAGAGTCAGCAGTTTGGATGCGTTCATCTTGCTCCCGTTTCACCATGTCTTCTGGCAATGAGAAGTCACTGATCTCTTCGAACAGACCTCCTGTCTCAGCGAAGTCAGATTCACTGGAATTCTTTGAATTATTGATTTCTGAAGGTGTCTCGTGTTTATGAATCTTTTGATGAGCTGTTAGATCAGCTAAATTCTCGCAAGTGAAAGAACAACATTCGCACATAAAGGAAAAGTGTGCTTTAGTTGTGTGTGATTGCAACTCCTGTGATGTCGAATAAGATTTCGAGCAGAAATTGCATTGGTACATCCGAGAATGTATCTTGCGATGATTGCGTAAAGTAAATTTTGAGGCGAAGACTTTATGGCACTTGTTGCATTCTAAATCGGGGTCGCCGTGTCCGCGGCAGTGTTGCTCAAACTTTTCTTGGTTTTTTAGATTTTTGCCGCAGTCGGTGCACATGAACTTGACGTTGGAGGAGACGTCGTATAAGTTTGAGAGCCGGTGGTTGCCGACCATGTGTTGCTTGAAGGCGGACAGTTGATCAAATATCTGTTTACATTTGTTGCACTGATACTTCTTTGCGCGTGGGTTTGTTGAGTTAGTGTTCGACTCGTCTGGTACCGGTTCTAAAAATTTCAATAATGTTTAAATTACGTAATAACATACAAACATAACGTCACGCTTTTTAACCTGTGAAAGGGTAGGTAGAGGATAAAGAATCGAAACTGAATCTTTTACATAACAGGGATGTGACGTATGATAATTCAATCTTAGTTTTACCTCAACGGTTTAGGTCATTTACCATAACATATGACTTGGAAAGTAGGTCACATACATTTGCATGCGGACCGACCTTTGGGGTCACGGTGCATAGAGTGGACTCTAGGTGCCCATCCAGTGGCCTCAGGGAAGACAGAGTGGTCACGTGCTGCCGTGCAAAGTGATAAGGACACCCACGTCTCCCTAGGCAGGTGTCGTAAAAGACGTTGTACCGTGGGGGCTCCGGAGCAGGTCTCTTTCAGAGGACCCGGTGCCCCTTACAGGTGCTAAGGGTGGGCACCGGGGTGGTTTTAGTGAGGTACAAATCCCACAGTCCCTAATCTTTCTCCCCCGCAAGCTAAGCGCCGATTGAAGGTTTCTCCCTTATAATAAAAAAAGGTTACACACACCTACTTTTCACCAGTTACTAATGAGTTTTTTTGTAATATACTGAGAATTTTGAAAAAAACTGGTAAAAGGTATTAAATAAATAATATAAATTTTTAGTAAACCTAATATTGAGTATTTCTTCATCATCATATCCGGCCTATAAGGCCGAACTATTGTTATGTTATAATATCTGTAAAACACTATATTTCAAGCAAATAAATGAATCTAGGTGTCTATCTACCTATCTAATACTTTGCAAAACCTGGGATTCGAACCCGAGACGTCTTGTTCAGCAGTCACAAATGGGTGTAATGTATGTGTACTTAGTTATTTCTTCCTACCCCTTTGGGAAATACAAGGCATGATGTTAATGTAGACAAATATTAAATAAAAATATTCATACATAATATTTAGATCATGAATTTGATAACTTAAATAATGTACCTAATTTTTATAATTCATGTACCTAATTTTTATAATTTAGGTACTTTTATAATGTTACATATTAATTCTCCACAGACTCTTGGTCCGTGCCCTTGTCAAACAATTTTTATTACAAAATGTCTAATGAATATTGATAAAGTAAAAAAAAATAATTACTAAATTATTTATTACCTATTTCTTCAATAACTTATTTGGAACTACTCAGATTCAATTCAATATTCGTTATAGTTATATAGCCATTCCTTTGTCAACCATTAATATTATCCAGAATGCCTCATATAACTTTTGAATTAAGTAATATTTCTATGAAAAACGTATAATAACACATAACAAAATTACGCTTATTAATCCCTGAAATGATGGACAGAGGTGCACACACACACAGATAAATAATATATCAAAAAACTTACCCACAGTGACTTCAGTCTCCATAGCACGGGCACCTCGGCACTCTAACGATGGATCATTGATAGCAATATTCTGCACCGTCTGACCGGACTCTGAGTCATGCCCCAAGAACAGTATAGTCTTCTGCTGCCTTGACACTGACTGTATGTCCGAAGACATCAGCTGTTTCAGTGCTTCATTGTCCGTCTGCAACCCAATAAATTTCCTCTCATCTCTTGCCCTAGTCTCCTTCTCATGGATAATTTCTTCAGACAATTGAGATAAAAAGACACCGCACTCAAACTCATCTTCCTCATACATATTGTAACTGTTTGGATTCTGAGCACTTTCTTGTATCTTTTCCACTGCTTTCTGCTCTTCGCACACCGAAGAGTAACGAATAGCTTCATTGTACTGGTACACATTCTGTGTAATGTATGTGTTGTGCTGCTCAATAGTTATGTGGTTGTTATGAGCCTCACGTATGGTGTAGGACTCCTTAGGCGGTGAGTTACACCGGTTGTACACATACGGACTCCTTGCTGGGTCTATCCACACTTGAGAATCATTGTAGGCAGGAAATGTTATCTGGTTTGCTTCAGTCAGAACCAGAGGTATGTTATCACTGCTTGGTAAACTATCTGGTGATCCATACCTGATGTTGATGTCATTACCATCCAAAACCTTCACATTGCAGAAGCCCTGGTATATTACTGTTTCGTTTCCGAAAGTGTCCGGGCATGAGATGTTCAGGTGTATGAATACGTTTTCCGACAACTGGCAGTGCGTTTCCAACTGTGTGCACACTTTTGGTATGAACAGTATCGGATATGGCGCCTCCACGTTAATGTTAGTACACTCTTCGCCATCCATTTTTCTAATTTAAACCTAAAAAATACCGAGGAATACATGTCGTTAGCAGTCCGTGGATTAATTAGGCACAAATGAAGGTAAATTAAGAAAATAATATCATAAAAAACTAGGATAAATAGAAAATGAAGGCGTCTTACCTCGTGCTGCTTGCGTGCTCGCTGAGAGAAAGGGCGGGCGGAGGTAGAAGTAACAGACAAATTATTTGAATGTGTTCGATTCTACCCTCCATTTTTGATATTTTTACAATTCTGCTAACTAATGTGGGTAAAGTCATTAAAATGACACGCAACACGTTGCAAAATGAAAACGAAACGATAAATTATTTTTCAAGCTCACTTTTATTTACTTTCAATTACAGACAACACAAAAACACAAATTGTAAATCACCAAGTTTGTTTTCAACTTTGAGTTATTTGTTTTCATTGTATGTATACAAAATATAAAATACTATAAAATTACACAAAATAACCTTTATTCCGTTGTAATAAAGTCTACACTGCAGCAGACAGTTGACTTGTCAAAAAATGACAGCTTATGCGTTCAGATTTACGCAAGAATGACCGCCTTGGACCTTGGAATTGATGACAGATAAAAAATGGTGAAATAATAATGAGAACAGACTGATAAAATAATTAAGTTCTTTAGGTGTTTATAAACAAATGCGAAGGTCATTGTATTTAGTTATACAAGTCAACATAAAATTGATATGAATCTATATAATAGGTACCTATCGGTATTAATGTTCTTAAATCTATACTTTTATTGAGAAATTGGTCGATTACGCAGTAAATGAAAATAAAGAAATATTTTTTGTAAATATTATGTTTTTATTTATAGCGACATAAGTGACTACCTCTGTAGTATGTACCTACAGTACGGTATTGTAATTTACCTAAATCAAACAATTTTATCCACAGAAATTCTTTAATATATCTATGATTTTATCAATATAGTTCCATGATAGATTGAATGTAGTCCTTGAATCCACTGATCCTTGCGTACATGTCAGGAACACCACGAGCACACGTGAAGGCCCAGGATGCTATTCCAATTTGAGTTCCAGTTTCCTTTGACATAAGGGCGCTGCCAGAGTCACCCTGGGGAAAGAAATTAAAAGCGATTTGTAAACACCTCAAGCCACACAACAGTATTAAAATTCGTTGAAGAATTTTCTACTTTATTGCAGAAACGTAAGGTTGAATTTTTAATGGCGAATTGGGTTACTTGGATGTGCATGAGAATAGAAACTAAACCATACCGATTCATAAAGAATATCCAAAAGTATTACACAGTACCTATCCTTATTTCAAAATCTACTTACAAAGCATAAGCCGCGACCAGTAGAATGCAAGGTACAGATCTCAATGGTGGAGTTTACATGAGGAGCATTGGGCCACCAGATGGAGCTTCCTTCACGGACCCTTTCAATACAATCTTCAGGAGACAGTGTATTCACGTCCAATACTTGGAGGTGGAACGGCATGAGAGCCCATTGCTGCAAAAATATAGGAATATCGATTTATTATAGTTTTTTATGGCATAGGACGGAAACGATGGTAAAGAATTGGTTGAGACATTGGCACTAACAACACGAGAGGAGTTACAAATGTGTTGCCAGCCTAGTAACACTTTGTAATTGTAAACTCAAATTGTAGGTACGTTAGGCTTTCGTTGTTAGGTAAATATAAGGCTTCAGTTTGGGAGCTTAGTCAGTTTTTTTAACTTATTGCTTAATGTTTAGAATAGTTTAAATCTTGTACTGCCTCGTTGGCCGAGTGGTCGCTAGTGTGACTGTCGGGGTCTCGGGTTCGATTCCCGGGCCGGGCAAAGAATTACTAGGTTTTAAAAAAAATCTCAGTTAGTCAGTACGGAGTCTGGAATTGTGCCCGGTATATAACAATAGGCTCACCCACTATAACATGGTACTCATAACATAAATAATGAAAAGTGGATGTTACATTGTACAGTGGCATTAAATGCCGTAATCTGCATCTCTGCCTTCCCATTCGAAGATAAAAGGCGTGATGTTATGTTATGTATGAATTTTGTACCTTTTACCATTACCTATTACCATAGCTACTTACGAAAAGAGGTACCTATGTAATCTATTAGACATTTCAAACGAAATTAAAGTCCTATTGTTTTCGGATTATAATCATCTCAACACGGTCAATTCTAAAGAATGCAAACAAATTCTTACAACACTATTAGGCAATTGAAGACTGCAATAAAATTCATAACTTCCGCGTATGTCCACATTCATAGCTTCTAACATGTCTATAAAGAATGTAATCAACAAATCTCCTTCGGGCTATAAAACATGGCGAAGGTCACTGTTATACAAGACAGTGTAGGGCTCCATAACTCCTTTTTATGGCTGTAATCTTAATAACCCAAAATGTTCGTTAAATATTATATCTAACTGCGCAAATAGGCCGTGGCACAAGCCTACCCAAAGCTAATGTTTGTTTAACCGAAGTTGAAGAAAATTTTACTGAGGGCCAAGCACGAATAACTATCGCATTCGTAAGGTAATAGTATCGAGCGCGTTCGGCGCTCTGATTGGCCGGCTCAAGTGAACCAACCAATCAGAACGCTTAACTCGCTCGATACTGTTACGAAAATCTTAGTATGGCTCACCCCCTATTACATGGCACTCATAGAAAAAATGGTAAAGTGGGCGTTACATTGTACAGTGGCATAATGTGCACCTCTGCCTACCCCTTAGGGGATAAAAGGCGTGATGTTATAAATTTGTCGGTAAATACAGGTAACGCTCCTATTTATTGGGTCTGACTGCTACAAGCAAGAGATGAAGTAGTTATCTAGGGTATCAAGAACAATTGCCCTGAGTCGTAGCTTATAGTTTCTGAACCATACTTCAGTACTTATATTTACGTGCCATCCTAAACAGTATTTGAATGGGGCCCAACAGGGCCGATGCCAATTCGGAGTCGCGGATAACCTATCGGGTAACCCCTCCGGCTTGACGCGCAGAAGTAGGAACGGGGTGGTTTTTAGTCAGTAAGAGTCTGACACTCCCTCCCGCCTCACACAGGCGGGAGCAGTCATTCGATGATTTTCCCCCCTTAAAATAAAACAGTATTTGAAAAATGACTGAATAAGCAAACTTCTAAACTCACCGCCACCCATCCCCATCCTGTCACAGAACTTGCTTCTTCACCCACAAAATCAAAGTTCATGACAGCTAGCTGCAAATGTTTACTCAATTCCACCTTTTTCGTGAGGCACAGGAAACCAATGTCGTTCTTAATGAGGACAGGGTCCCATTCTGGGTGTATATGGTAGTTCTGGAAATCAACTCTTATGCCTCCTGTATTCCAGTTGTTTGATCCTACTACTGCGTGGAATAAACTGGAAAATGGAAACGATTAGTAGTTATTATATTATATTTGAACAATCTTGCTGAGTAGAAATTTAAGGAAGCTCGAGTGCGATTCTTGTGTCCGAAAAGCAGTCCCTAATGGTCCTTTCGGTAATTTGAAAATTTCAGCAATAGCAGGGAATTTACGAATTGTAGGTATTAACTAAAAATCGCGGGTTACTCACGTGTATATACTGAGAAAAGCTCTACTTGTTTCGAACCACAGAGGGGTTCCTTCCTCATGAGCAGCGTGCGCGGTCGCGGCGATGTCGCGCAGCCTACTGGCTAGCACCCTACTTGGAAGAAACCCTCTGTGGTTCGAAACTAGTAGAGGTTTTCTTAATATATTCACGTGAGTAGCCCGCGATTTTTAGTTAATTTAGTATGGGTCACGATATATCTTGCATGTATAGCAATAGGCTCATATTACCTACATGGGACAAACTTCCTCGTTGTCCGAGTGGTTTTTTAAAAACAATTCAGTAGTAGCAAGGAGTCTGGAATTATCCCCGGTATATTGCAATAGGCTTAACCCCCATTAGATGGGACTCATAACATAAATAGTGGAAAGTGGGTGTTACATTGTTCAATGGCTGTAAGGTGTACCTCTGCTTACCCCTTCGGGGATAAAAGGCGTGATGTTATGATGTTACGTACGGGAACCCTGTTGTTGCTCGCGTGATGTCGAGGATGATAAAATCGACTTTAACATTGTTGCTTTTAAGTGTAAAGTTAAAATTCATTAAGTTACTCCGGATTTAGGTTTTTTTAAAATGTAAAATATCTCTAACTTTTCTTTATAGTGTCTATACTTACTTCGTTAGTCCTCCCGCTATTTGAAAATCTGTAAGGCAGTGTGCTGCAGTCATTACCAGATTAGGCTTCACTAGGGAACCCCCACAGAGTATTAGTCTAATAACTTCATCTCCAACCAGTATAGCCACCATATGGGGGGCATACCCTTCAAGGGTATTCTCACCCCCTATAACACGGGGACTGAAATAATTTTTTAGATCCTCTATAGATGTCTCTAAAGGTATACCTGGAAGAAAGAAGTTGTTTGAGGAATGGTACATGATAGCATTTCAATTTGAAGCTTATGGTTTTGCAATAAAATTTAAAATGTTTTAGCAGTTTAGGGTAGCTTGATGTGCCGTTTGGAACAGAAAGGGATTTGTTTATTTTTATAATAACTATCGTGAGACATACTAAATTAACTAAAAATCGCGGGTTACTTACGTGAATATACTGAGAAAAGCTTTTTTTATGTATGCCATAAGCCGGTAAACGAGCGGACGGATCACCTGATGGTAAGCAATCGGCGTCGCCCATGGACACCTGGAACACCAGAGGCGTTACAAGTGCGTTACCAGCCTTTTGGGGATTAGGAGTTTGAGGATCGTTGGGGATTCAGGAAATTGGGGAGATTGGGGAAGGGTAGGGTAATTTGGCCTCCGGTTACCTCACTCACACGACGAAACACAACGCAAGCGTTGATTCACGTCGGTTTTCTATGAGGTCGTGGTATCACTCCGGTCGAGTCGGCCCATTTATGCCGAAGCATGGCTCTTCCACATATAAAAGTTCTACTAGTTTCGAACCACAGAGGGGTTCTTCCTCACGAGCAGCGTGCGCGGTCGCGGCGATGTCGGCGGCAGTAGACTGCGCTAGTAGAGGTTTTCTCAGTACATTCACGTAAGTAACCCGCGATTTTTAGTTCGTTTTGTTTATTGCTTGATCTGTGATAATTAGATGGTTAAAGGGAACGTGCCTTTCGAAGCATTAGACCGTTATTGATGCTCAAAGTTCAGGACCCGGGGCGTAGATAAAATCTAAAGATTTACTTACCATCAGCACTGAAGCGTACACAAACACAAATAACAATGAGAATTTTAAAATGCATTTTTGGAAAACTTTTTAAGGATTTCAAAATAGAGAAGTATTAGCTGCTCACAGTTGTAACTGTGTATGATACAAAATTGGTAAAAATAATATTATTTATACTAGAAAATATTTATTACTCTTAAATCCTTTACTAGACATTTGACTGATTAATTAATATTGAAGAAAACAACTCTTTGATTGACTTTGTACTCAGACTCACTTCAGACAGGCCAGATAAACTATATTTATGACCAATATAATAAAAGCATTTCCTACTTACATATGCAATTGTAATACTGCATAGTGCATATAATAATAGGTAATCTGTATATTATGTATCACTCTGTATTGTCTTTTTTAAGACGTGATCCTTTTGAGGAGAGGGAATCATCCATTGATTTCTCCCGAGAGGGAGTATCAAACTACCACTGACTAAAAACCATCCCGTTCCTACTCCTGCACTTCGAGCCGGAGCCCCGGCAACCCGTTAAGTCCTCCACAGCTCCGTATCGGCATCGGCCTTGTTGGGCCCCATCTGTGGTGGTCTGATGGCTCATTGAGGCGCGCACGGAACGCGACGTGCCGTACGCTCGGGTCTGGTTGTGGTCGGGCGGTGTAACTCACCGCCCGACCAGAAATCCCCGTGATTACGGTGATTTTTTAGCCCTCGGAGGGCGCACGAATCTCCTGGATAATATTACAATAATACACAGTGGTCATTATCACACCGGTGATTGATCTACTGATTATAACAATATTGCGCATTCATATTACCTATCTACTGCAAATTGTTTTATGAAATCGTACTAAATTATCATAATATCAAGGTTAAGGAAAAAGAAAGGTGCATTCAACGGAGATTAGTGCAGCGGTCTGTCTGAATGACTAGCTTGAATAAGAATATGATATCTTTATTCCTTATATGCACCCCATCCCGTTCTAAAGCGCACATGTAACAACCCAATTTATGTAAGTGTACTTGGAAGGGACTGATTACTTATTAACAGGTCATGCCTCAGGTTATTTGCTAATTATCCCTTAAAGATCAACATAACAATCTAACTATCAGTAGGGATGGCAATACGTGGACTCTTTTGTGGTACTAAAGGACAGGGCCCATTACCGGTTTGATCCGGAGACGGGACCCTTGCTTGTCGCAATGTAGTTATGTTTTATCAGACTATGCTGTACTTAAAAAGACCATAGGGCTCGCTGCCATTGCAGCGGTAAGTCCCCTTGAGGAGTGGCTTGAGAGACGCTACGGTGTCCTCACCTACCGCCTGACGCAGGTCCTCACCGGACATGGAAGTTTCGGGAGGTACCTGTGTCTGATGGGGCGGGAGGAAACGCCCGGGTGTCATCACTGCGAGGACCGCCCTGAGGACACGGTGGAACACACTGTAGCGGAATGCACTGCGTGGGCTGAGCACCGCCGTGCCCTCAGGGAAGTGATCGGCGATGGCGACCTCTCGCGTCCGGGCCTAGTGCAGGCCATGATGCGGAGCGAAGGGGACTGGGATGCCATCTCCTCCTTTTGCGAAGCAGTCAGGCTAGCTAAGGAGGAGGCGGGACGCGTGAGGCAGCGAAGCGCTGCCTCCTCGCAACCCAGCCATCGCGAAGGACACACCGGGCGTCGGGGATCGCGGGACGATCTCCGGCCAGCGTAAGCGCGGGCCTGCGGACGGCGAGCATGGGTGGCTCCACGTCCGACCAGAAACAGATCCGAGCGTACGGCGCGTGGTGTTCCGCGCGCCCCTCAAAGAGCCATCAGACCACCACAGATCAGACACCCAATAGGGCCGATGCCGATTCGCAGTCACGGAGAACCTAACGGGTAACTGGGACTCCGGCTCGACGTGCAGGAGAAGGAACGGGGTGGTTTTTAGTCAGTAAGAGTCTGACACTCCCTTCCGCCTCACCCAGGCGGGAGCAGTCATTCGATGATTTTCCCCCCTTTAAAAAAATGCACTATAAAAACCACATAAAGACTAACTTGAAATTCAAGACAATGTTAGGTAAGTATCGAAGTTACCGAATTCAAGATTCTATAATTAGTCATACTACCAACATGTAATAGCCGAGGCATGATAATTGTTATCAGTCTACCATTGTTTGTTTATTTTCCGAAATATCACCTTTATCTATCATCAAGGTTAAGTAAAGTGCAATAAACTACAAACCTACAAATTATTGTTTCGATACTAAATTACATTATCTACTTGTACTAATTACTCTTACTAATTAAAGATCGCAATTATTTGAATGTCAAGGGCAAAAGTCTCCTAAAAAAAATAAAAAAAAAAATAATCTGTCAAAAATTATTATCGGTTATAACCTAAAAAGGATATTTCGTATAAATAGCAATTAATTTTTCGGTTTCTCATTAGTTGGTCATAGGTATTTCATTAAAGTGATTAACTTATATTAAATAAAAAATGGAATCTCTCACAGTTTTTCTTTTATTTGGAGTTATAACGGCTTTTGTTTCTGGTAAGCAGCAGATTAAATCTATATCTACTCATATAATAAAATCTTCAAGCTTGCTTCTTGCATCGACCATTGTTTTTGTCTCTGCATCACCCAAAGGTCTGGCTGGAGGAGAATGCCCTAGGCATTAAGCCCACCTTGTACATGTACACAAGTATGTGCATGAAGTCTTTTAAAATAAAATAAAATAAATAAAATCGTAAGAAAGTAAAAACTGTACCTCTACATGGAATATTTTTTAAAAATAATGCTTTGGGCGTGATCTACAGTCGGTGCCAAAAGAAAAAAATCTTTTTTTTTTAATTTTTATCTGTTTGTCTGTTTGTATGTCCAGGATGAACTCAAAAAGTGCTGCATGGATATATTTCAAATTTTGCATGAATATTACTAACACGTTGGGTCAATATATAGACTACATATATTATGCTATCAACTACGGTGAAGGAGCTGTGAATGACTATTTTACGCGGACGAAGTCGCAGGCTCAGCTACTAATTAAATAAGTATTAACGTGGTTAAAACTGGTTTGCTGTTCATGTGGCCGAAGTATGGCTATAAATCCAATGCTATGTATTCCATTATTATCACATGCTTCATGCCATTATTTTATACATTCTAAGTACTTTCTGATTGAAAAAGAGTAACCTATGGAGTTTCTTGCTCGTTCTTCTCCATAGGAATCTACACTTTGGATTGAGCAATTAGCTTCACTTCTAAATTTTTGTTGTTTGACGTTCAAAAGTGCCATCCTGGTTTAATAGAAATAAATGATTTTGACTTTGACTTTGTACTTTAAATGTTATATGTTGTGGTATGGCAGTACTCCTTCGAATAAATCTACCTCTATATATATAAAAGAAAGTCGTGTTAGTTACACCACTTATAACTCAAGAACGGCAGAATAGATTTGGCTGAAAATTGGTAGGGAGGTAGCTTAGAGCCAGGAGACCGACATTGAATACTTTTTAACCAATTTTTTTTTTTTACTTTTTACCGAAATAACGAACGGGGACAGGAAAAAATGGGATTACGCGTACGAAGTCGCGGGAAGAAGCTAGTTTAATATAAATAAATCAATAACACCTAATTCATGGGATAACTGGCAATGAGATAACGGAATGGTCAGCTTATAATAATTCACATTTCCAGCTCATCACCACCCTTTAACCATGCTCTTCAATTTCTAGGCGTTCCCCTCCCTCCCTCAGACCACCAGCCTTTCATTATCGGTGGAGAGGATGCTGCAGAAGGATCAGCTCCTTACATGGTGGCCCTGGTATTTGGTGAACGAGTCATGTTCCAGCTCTGCGGAGCTTCCCTCATCAGCAGGCGACTGATGCTGACTGCTGCACACTGTCTCGAATCTTTCATAGCTGATGAAGGTGGATTGTTGGAGTAAGTACCTATATTTTTGTGTATTCGTTATACGCCTTTTGGTGTTTAAAAGTTCTGAATGCGATTATGTGAATTGCTATAATAATTAATTCTCCAGGGTTCAGGGTCCTTACGACTATCATGTTATGGTATTATTTTCACATTCGTCACTTCATTTATATTTATTGCGAAACGAAGAGCTTTTTCTGCTAAAACACAGCAGTGAAGCAAAAACAGCATAAATGTTTTTTTATGGAATAGGAGGCAAACGACTAGACTGATCACCTGATGGTAAGCGATCAGCGCCGCCGCCAGGAGTCACAGGTGCGTTGCCGGCCTTTTAAAAAGGAATACGTTCTTTTCTTGAAAGGTTGAGGAGTCGTATCGGTTCTGTTATACCGCCGACGACAGATCATTCCACAGTTTTGCTGTTATTATGTTTTGGTTTTATTTTATACGAACACCCAGCCCGTTACAAAACGATGCAAGATTTTTTTTTTATAACCACGTATTAATAAAAATATTTGCCAACATTTTCTAAACAAACCTGTAAGTCAAGTATATGCTTATAAAATTATACTTCTCTTTGCAGCACTTTACACTCCCGAGTGGGTTCCAATCAGTGGAACTCAGGTGGCACCATGGTTGCCCTAAAGGGCTACCACATGCATCCACAATGGGACTCTATAAACATTAAGTATGATGCTGCAGTGTTGGTTACGAAGGTGCCAGTGCATCTGACAGACCGAGTGGCCCTCATCAGCATGTCTTACGACTTCATTGAAGGAAACGAAGCGGTTTTGGTTTCTGGTTGGGGTAGGACTGGACCAAGATTCGATGAAAATGTTATTGTAAGTTTACATCAGAATGTCTCTTAAATATAACATAAAGTCATGCCTTTATCGCCGAAGGAGTAGGCAGAGGTGCACATTACAGCACTTAAAGCCACTATACAATGTAACACCCACTTTTCACTAAGATTATGAGTCCTATGTAATAGGGGGTAACCATATTGCCATATACAATTCCAGACACCGTGCTAATACTGAGATTTTTTTAAAGAAATCCTACTTTCCCTGACTTGGGAATCGAACTTGAGATTTCTTGCCCGGCAGTCGCACTTGCGACCACTCGGCCAACGAGGCAGGAAGTATTGATAGATAAGTAGTATTCCTTGGATGCACACAAGAATTTTGTTAAATCCAGTTCTTTTATTAGTCCCAATATATAATATCCAATCCAGGAATCGCAGTCCAGTTAGACCCCTAATGTGACGGTAGTGGTGACCTGTGGTGACTATCAGTGAACTAATGAACCCATTTATCTGCAGTTACCATGTTTCCACTTTGTTTCAGCACTTACGACCAACTCCAGATGACAAGCAAGTTCTTTACATGGACACATTAGACTACGATAAGTGTCAGGAGTTGATGAAGATAGCATCAAACAGCCGCGCCCCGCCCGTACAGCGTGACGTCGAAATATGCACATTCCACTCTCGAGGACATGGGATGTGCGTTGTAAGTAAAGTGTTATGATTTAATTTTAAGTTTTTTTATGGAATACGAGGCAAACCAGCACGGATCACCTGATGGTAAGCGATCAACGCCGCCTATAGACACCCGCAACACCAGAGGAGTCACAGCTGCGTTGCCGCCCTTTTAAAAAGGAATACGCTCTTTTCTTGAAGGTTTGAAGGTCGTATCGGTTCGGAAATACCGCCGACTACAGATTATTCCATCGATTGTACCTAGATATCTGGCTTTCTCGACCAGACCGCAATATAATGTCCTTTCTCTCTTAATTACTAACGAGATGCGACTGAAGGTACGTGATGCAATTTTGGTATCACCCGTAGCAGCTACTCAGTGAACCACAGTACTAACACAGAACTTCAAACATTAGGGTTTTTTGGCAGTAGGTATCTACTTCTCTCGCTGATGTAGCTTTAACAATAATGTAGGGGTTTTCCCTTTTTCTATTTTCACAGGGAGACTCCGGGAGTGCCCTCGTCAGGTTAAGCACCAAGCAGCAGATTGGCATTGTATCTTGGGGATACGGCTGTGCTGCTGGTGCACCTGACGTTTATGTCAGGATACTTGGTGTCAAGGACTTTTTAGAGTTTACTATCGCACTTTATGAAGACTGATACGATTGCTAAGATTTACGACTTTGTTTTGTAGTTTTAAGTGCTGTTAAGTATTGGCTATGTAAATAGATGCATACCTTTGAAAATGCTCTTTTATTTTCATATGTAACTGTAACACTGCTGCATTCTCATATTGTTTTATCGTCGTCATCATCATCAGCCACTAGACGTTTTCTGCCCTATATACGCCTCTCCCAATGACTTGACGGATTGGTTGATGGATCTACTATTGCACATTTTGCAAAATGGATTGAAATTTCTGCATACTGACGCCTAAAAGAATTGCTATAGCAAACCACAGCAGTTAGGGAACATGCTAGGTGTGGTTTTTCAATTTCAGATAAGTTAGACATGGTATTTTCCTCACAAAACTGGGCAGGTCTGGAAACTTTTAGGTGTAGGAATGGGTGCTATCTCTTTACAGCTTTTTTGAAAAGACGGCGTCTTCTCATAATCTACAAATGAAAGGCATATTTTACAAAAGACTTATCCACAACTTTTATTATTTTTATTCAAGTAAATTCCGGTTCATTTTATAATGTTTTTAGACGATGACAGATCTGAGCCAGTTCTGGTAAGCGCTGATTCTGACGAACATGTCAGGAGCACCACGAGCACATGGGAAGCCCCAGGACACGATACCGAACTGCTGGCCGTTGTCAACACGACGCAGAGCACTACCAGAGTCACCCTGAAAGAAAAAGCAAAGATAGTTTAAAAACATGCCTCAGTGTAAATAGGAGCTTCCAGGTAACTAGGAGAAGTCTAGGTAGGGTAGTCTAGTCTAGTCTTACTCGATGAAAAGTACGTAAATAAAAATGATCCTTACGTTGCAAGTACCGAATCCAGCGGAGTGAAGAGTGCAGACCTCAATATGAGGCTCAACTGGAGGAGCACGGACATTGAATTCGGCGGAGGCACGAGCCACGCGGTTGACACAGTCGTTACCTTCGATGGTGTTGAGAGTCAGCTCCAAGAGAGTGGCAGACAAGGCACCGCCAGACTAGAATAAAGATAAGAGGGTTAAAATAAATTAATTTATATTTAGAAGAAGAAATTAACGCAAATGGTAATTTTTCAATATTAACGTGGTGTTATGTAACTCACCCTGATTCTGCCCCATCCAGCAACTCTAGATTGGACTCCCTGGCCGATGAAGTTGTAGGTGACGGGCACGATCTGTACCAGGTTGTTGAGAGCCACGTTGGAGGAGGTGATGAGGACACCGATGTCGTTCTTGATGGTAGCAGACACGTAGTTGGGGTGGGTCACGTTACGGGCCAGAGTGTAGGCAGTACCGCCGCTGTTCCAGCGGTTGGTGCCAACAGTCGCACGAAGAGAGCTGTGGATATAGTATCGAACTTTAAAATCATGAAACTAGTAGAATTTACTTTTGAAATGTTTAGAGAAAACATGAACCCGAAGCTCATGATTACAAATTAAGTTAAAGAGAGAAATGCACATTAAGATATGACCCATATTGAGATTTGGTAGTTAAGAACTTTTGCGAAATCAGATGTTCAAAATGTATGTGAAAACAGATCAGAACTTACTTAGCGAGAGAGTTGCCACTGAAGACGGCAGCAATGCAGTGAGCAGCAGTAAGGACGGTGCGCTGGGAGATCAGAGAACCTCCGCAGAGGAAGCTTCTCACCAACACTCCAGAGGACAGAGCCACCATGTGAGGGTGGCTACCTGTCGCCGCCTGGGTACCACCGACGATACGAGCGTTGGCGTCGGTGTGGTCGAAGAAGATGGACATGTCATCTTCGGGCGTTGGAAGGGCTGAAATAGTAAAGAGAAAGATTAAGTTTCTCTAAACGATTGTGCCACTAGAATTAACATCAAGTATTTGGTTGACTGCGGATGACTTAAGCTCTAGCTCCAAGTAAGAATACTTAGGTTCAAGATGGTCTATAATCATTAAAAGTCACGAGTCTTCGGTGAAATGGGACCAATTCAGCATGTGCAAGACAGTGCCTTGCACTGGTATTCTACTTGCTCCTTACGTGTGGAAACTTCTAATACGAGCCTAACATTTTAATCTAGTCAATGCTATACATGTTAAATATTTATTGTCAGATTCGGTTGGTTATGGCACGTGTCTGATACGAAGCGATATAAATCGCGTTATGAAGAAAAACATTAATAGGTATTATATCGTGGTTCTATAAATCTGAATCGCTAATCGCCTTAATTTTATTGATATCCATCTTATCTTTTCTAATTAGACTAAGTAATGAGTTGAGTCACTGTGTCGTCATTAAAATAGGTACTGCAATATAATCAGTCACGCCTATGTATTATGATAAGTAAGTACTGTTTGACTATTTGTATCCTAGGATTAAATTATTACACTGATTTGTTATGAAAATCGGTCTTCGAAGAACATGTTTAAGAATGGTGAATGTTAATTAATCTCCACAATATAGGAAGGTAGGACCAAAGAAATACTGTTATTTGTTTGTGCAAATAACCATTTATTAGACTGGTAGTTTTTTTATAAAACGTGGTCCACGTTAGCATTTTCTTATATGTTGTGGTGCGTTTACAAATATACAAGTTCACATACAAATGACACCCAGACCCGAAACAACAATTTGTGCATCACACAAATAGTTGCTCCGTGCAAGAATCGGACCCGCTACACGTTGCGCAGTCGGTTGCCCAGCCACCGTACCCGTGTAGTTATTCAGATTATGCTTAAATATTTATATTTTATAAAATCTAAATATTTTAGCCATTTTCTATGGAGAAGTATTTTGTTTGGAGATATGTCAACCCTATTAAAAAGTATAGGAACAAAACTGCGTTTAAAAAAACCGACTTCAAAAACTAAAAACAAAGGAAAAGTATAAACAAAAAAGCAAATAATAACTATTATTGATCATATGACGTAGGTACTTATAGCTTACACAAATACACACCCACTGATAGGTGAAAAATCGATGGAAGTCGGTGGTCGATCGGCCTATAGAAAAAGAATCTTTGAAATCGGTCCAGGCGTCTTCGAGTAATCCAGTAGCAAAGTTAAAAAGAAAATACAATCGAATTGAGAACCTCCTCCTTTGTTTGAAGTCGGTTGGAAAGATAAGACCAATAGACTAAAATATTCGATATAGACCAAGCTCTGAATTAATATTTACCTCTCACTGTTATCAGATAAGTTGTGTCATTACGATAACTTTGATTTAATCCTACCGAATAATAAAACGTGAGATATGATTATTGATTAATTCATTAAATTAGGTATTATTGCTGCCTAATCAACAATTGAGCATTACGTCTCCGATTTTTAAGATTTTATATTTATTTTATTTACTAGCTTCTGCCCGCGACTTGTACCGCAATCCCGTTTTCTCCCGTTCCCGTAGGATTTCCTGGATTTTTCTGACAATAACAAACACAACAAAAAAAAAACAGCCAAATCGGTCTAGCAGTTCTCAAATTAGCGTGACAACGGGAAACGGGTTTCATTTTTATATTATATAGATGGACTATTTGCCTGGGCGTCTTCAAGGCCCGAGTGAATAGGTTGCTTATGGGACGACGTGCTCCATCGTAGACCGTATCATCGCTTACCATCAGGCGAGATAGTGGTCAAACGTCAGCCCATCAAATTTATTTGTAATAATTCCCTTTCAGGAATTTATAAAAGACAAGTTGATATGTTTTAAAAGGCAACCATTTTTCATAATATGTGTATTTGGCGTGGGCTGGTCAGGTAACAAAAATATACTTCTTAGTTTAGTATGATCCTATTGAGAGAATGAAAGGCCTTTTTTTAAGGGGGAAAATCATCGAAGGACTGCTCCCGCCTGAGTGAGGCGGGAAGGATTGTCAGACTCTTACTGACTAAAAACCACCCCGTTCCTTCTCCTGCACATCGAGCCGGAGCCCCGGTAACCCGTTAGGTTCTCCGCGACAGAATGAAAGGCCTAAGAACTCTTCAATAACAAACAGTACCGCCATTTTACTACTGTCCCACTAATAATATCCTACCACAATAGGGTATCATTTAATGTGCATTAGGAAGCCTACTTTCAAAAACAAAAAAATGGCAGTTGATGAGAAAGACAATAAAAACTCAATACTGTTTTGTTGTACCGTCTCTGGGTCAGTTTTGGTTTTTATCTCTGAAAGTCATCATGAGATGGATTTTCTCTTTCTTAGGTATTTAAATACCAATCACGTATGAGGATTTTGTCTTTTATTATCACTACTTAGTACATAGTGTATAACAAAGTCTATACTATCCGCCGTCTGTCTGTCCCTATGTATGCCTAGATCTTTATAACTACGTAATGGATTTTGATGTGGTTTTTTAATAGATAGAATTATTCTTTTATAATTTTAGATGATAAAAAAGCTGTGAACATTGTGTATTTTTTTTAAGTGGCAAAAATCATCAAATGACTGCTCCCGCCTGGGCGAGGCGGGAGGGAGTGTCAGACTGTTACTGACTAAAAATCACCCCGTTCCTTCTCCTGCACGTCGAGCCTGAGCCCCGGTTACCCGTTAGGTTCTCCGCGACTCCGAGAACATTGTGTATAAGGACATTCTGTAGTAGATATATTTACATAAGCATTGCACTCGTGCGGAGCCGGGGCGGGTCGCTAGTAGAAGTATATTAGAAAGTAGAACGGTAGGTAATAGTGAGTAAGTAAGATCTGCTCTATCAGACATTTAAAATAAATATTTTGTAACACTTTTTTCCAAAAAATATTATTAAATCTATTATAATAACTTACCGAAGCACCCAACCAGGAGAGTGAACACCAGAAGTCCGGCTTTGTAGTCCATGTTTAACAACGCCCGAAGTGAGTTTGTGAATCCAACGCTGTATTACTCATATTTATAATATCGATTAGTGAGATAAAAATTTAGCTCTGGTTGATGATAAGAAATGATAATAGGATTTATTGCTATATATTTCTTATCCAATAGTTGTAAACAAAATTGCGTACTATACGCGTAATTAATCTGCTGATTAGGTATCTCTTTGTTCTTTTGATCGTACGGTCCTAGAACAGGAATGATGGTGAACCTTTTCGTATCCACGTGTCATTTTTTAAGCAATAACCATTGATGACGTTATAAAGTGAGGCATCAAATGATGCTTTTCAAATTTAGCTTTTTTCTACCTATTAGCAGTGGCGTAATTACAGGGTGGCAGTCGACAAAATGCCACGGGCCTCCAGCTGGAAGGAGTCCCGTTTAGAGGTTTTCATCTAAACTTATCTGTTTTTTATTGGGGAGGAGGGCCGTCGGATGAATGGTATAGTTACGCCATCGCTTACTGGGTACCTACTATTAGTAGCAATAAAACTTATGAGCTACGGGCGTAAGCAGAATAACTTGGACCAGGGTCGTTCACAGACACAGACACAGACCTTCAGTGATGATGAGACCGAATAAGAAGAAGAAGAGAGAAGAAGTTAATATTTGCTAAGCACGAAATATTATTATTAGTTAGATTAGGTTACTACACATAAATAAATATTTCATTCCTTTTTGAAAATATAAGGATATAAAATGAGGATTAACTTTGATTTTTTTGTTACAGAATCTGTGAATCTGGATATAAATGCACTACATATATAATGCGCCTGCCAGACAGCTCATTGCGTTGCTCATCGCTATGCTCCCCACGCTGCCGTGATTTGCCGCGATGCCCTCTCTGACCACACACTGTTCTACTCGCGCAATTAATCACGACGCTCCTATTGCTGGTGTTCGTTGCCCCTCGTGTTGCCGGTCCTTTTGACTCGCGCGCAAAAACCAACAAAATAGGGAGCAGTGGGCAGGACGAGGAGCATGACGTGTGGCATGACGAGTATGTTGCCACACTATGTCTCTGTCTCCTTCCCTCGTTACTTACCATACCACTCGTCAAGTGTGTGGCAGTCGCATAACAAGAATGTTGAAAAAAAGCGAACGTAATGTCACTTAGAAATGATTGAAGCATAAATGTCAGTGGTGTATTTATGTGTGCGTGTACTTTTACACCGTAATGTATGAAGTGTAATGACGGGCCATGTCACACGACAGATGTCCTTCGTGTCAATGTGTGTGTAAGTCTATAGTAGCCAGGTGCCACAGTCGTTGTTTCAAGAGACTATATTATGCGTTTTTAACCGTCCTTGCTCTCAAATAAAAGTAGGATAGGACAGTGAAGTAAATAAAAATCACTCTTAAACACTATCGCGTATTGTGTGGATAAGAAAAACAAACGGTGCAAAATGTCAAGATTGTATGCTTTAGCCCTTATGATTGTAGGTAAGTTATTTGTTAAATCATAATAATATGATAGACTATCATATTAAATGGACAGATAGGGAAATACTTTGACACTTTAATGAATGAGGTGATGATGCAAATATTTGATTAAATAGGTATTAGATACCTACTTATAAACTGCTTCATTGGTCGTAGGGCCGTAAGCACTACTATCAAATAAGGGACCTATTTAACGAAAAGGCACAAAACAATAATTTAATGTTTATTATAACATGTTAAATGTCGTTAGGTATGGCCTAGTGGTTAAAGACGCCCGCTTCTCATGTATGCGAGTGCGGGTTCGAAACCTACCAACGGCTAGTACTAATGTGACATTTTCAGAGTTTTATGCCCTTTCTTAGATTATTTAGACACCACTGACAAACAGTGAAGGAAATTATCGTGAAGAAACCTGTAAAACCCTAACTTCACGCCTCTCTCCCATGGAAGTAGGCAGAGACTACGGAACGCCAATTACTACGATTGCTACATACCTCTTTCGCTTCATCAACAGTCATCAATGTGTTCATGCATGCTCGTCGGTTAACGGTACTTTTAATTTGGCCCTTCTTTAATATATCGCCAATCTGGTCACTATATGTCCGTCTAGGGCGCCCTCTACCGACGGCCCCATTCATATCCGCTCTGTATACTTCTTTCGTTACTCTACTTTACAGTTTTGCTGTGCGAGGCAGGAAGCTACGGTGACGCCGGAAATATGAATTAGGCACTTGGTTTTACCCACGGCTTTGCCCACATATTCTTGTTTTATCCCATGAGAGCATTTAATCGGGATAAAAAGTATTAACACTTTTTTATTTAAAAAAAATTATCCAACACTCACAGTACATGATTTTCTCAATTCGACAGTGGGGCTTAATCTGGTGAAAAAAAAAAGAATTTTAAATTACTAAGACGAAGTTACACAACGAAAAGAAAAAATATAAAGCACAATAATAATAAAGAAAGGCTTACAATATACACGTATAGAGGTACATTACATCTTAATGTATGTATTATAAAAACTACTTAATTACCCACATTACATAACAACTATAATAAAACTAAACTAAAATACAATATGAGGAGCTATTCACTACCATAACTTAAAATAAATAATATTACTTTTGTGAATTCACTCGAAGGAGTTGCGATATATCAATACGATTCCACGATCGTATGATATCTGATAAGTTACCCACCCCACCCACTGATAGGTTAGAAGACGGTGCCATAAGCTCATTATGATATGAGCTTAATTTGTGGCCATTAAGTTATATCATTATGATATGAGCTTATGGCACCGACTTCTAACCTATCAGTGGATGGTTAACCTATCAGTACTATAATAGTTATTTTATTTGCTTTTTAGTTTTGACTTTTTGTTTCTTATTATTTTTTGGTTTTTTGAAGTCGGTTTTTTAAACGCAGTTTTTATTTTATTATTTTATCATTTTCAGTGTAAAGCTACATATACCCGTTTTGTTACTTATAATCTACATAGGTGCAAAGTTCTAATCAATACAATAATTATACAAGCCCAAACACAAGGTAGTTACTGTATATCGTTGAAGAGATCCATTAACAATTACACTTCTTCATCATCAGACCCTTAATGACAGTCCCACTCTATCTAGGTGTAAAGTCCTCATCAATACAAATTAATCAAGCCCAAACACAAGGTAGTTAATATAAACCGTTGAGGAGTTCTCTAGACTGTCTATCGGTTTCATCATCAGGTCGACTCAAGACCCTTATCAAATTGTAGTGTTTAAAAATCCTTATTGAAAAACATAATAGACGCGTTACTCGCCCCTACCATTTTTTAAAGTTCCCCTCGGTCGGTTTCCCTAGGATTCCATCATCAGATCCTCACCTCATGGAAATGTGACCATCTCGGGAGTATACCCTTTCAAACAAAACAAGAATTTTGGAAATAGGTTTTCAACTGGCGGAGTAATCGGCGAACAAACAAACAAAAAATAAAAACAATCAGCCGAACATAGTACCTCCTCATTTTTTTGAAGTCGGTAAATATAATAGATGTATAACTCGCCCCAGTCACCCCTACAAGTTTCGTAAGTTCATCTCGGTTTCCCTAAGATTCCATCATCAGATCCTGACCTCATGGAAATGGGATCATCTCGGGAGTATATCGAAGAATATACGAAGAGTATACGAAGTAATCGGTAAACAAATAAAAAAAATTAAACAATCAGCCAAACATAGTACCTCCTCCTTGTTTTGAAGTCGGTAAAAAACGGACAGTCCCGTTCAAAACGGGACGTCTGGTTACTTACCATATCCAATGGAAGAGAAGGGGTTGTGAAGAATGGTTCTAATCTTCTCTACGACACAGCTTAGTACCCATATTAAAAATAGATAGTCATGCATAGAAATATAGGAGGTAAAATGCTGACTTGATACCGATATTTTCCAGGTATAGTTATCACTGAATCTAAATATTATTGCATGATATCCATGATATACAAACAATTGGTGAATCACTAATATTATTATCTTTCTATCTATGTGATTTTAAGTAGTAACTGAAGGGTTCTGTGCCTTCTGGCGCTTAGTTCAGTATTAATATTGTGTCCTAATTTTTTTATACCACGACGGTGGCAAAAAGGAGCACAGCCCACCTGCTGGTAAACGGTTACTGTGGCCTATGAACGCTTGCAACACTTGGAGCATTAATTGCGCCTTGCCAAACCTTAAAAACCTTTTCACTCCCTTCTTGAAGAACTCCATGTCGTAGCCTCCTGGGAAAACCACGGCAGGGAGTTCATTCCACAATTGGAGGGTCCATGGGAAGAAATTCGTCTCAAACCGAACTGTAAGGAACGAACGGGCTTCTTGTGTGAGCGTGAACTCCTAAGAACTTATCGGGCTGCGGAGGACTTAACGGGTTTCCGAGGCTCCGACTCGAAGGGCAGGAGTAGGAACGGGGTGGTTTGAAACTCCCTCCCGCCTCATCTAGGCAGGTTTATGCACTTTAACATTTATGATCATGCGAACAAAACATGTATGGGTACAAAATGTCAGCTCAAATTAATAAAAAGCTTGCAAAAAGTGTACAATATCATCGATAGTTTGTAAGAAGTATTGCCTCTCGCTAAGAAATATTTACCTTATTCATGGACCCGCTCGATATCTTAGTCGATATCTTCGGGAGTAGGGTCACCCGTCTTCATTTTCCATTAAATAAGTTCTCATTGAGGACATAGCTAAATCGCCGTTTCTGCTCCCCCGGACCTTGGGTAAGCAAAAATTAATAAAAACTTCCCAATTTAAAATTTATTTCAGTAATTATTAGTATTATAATTAAACAATATTTTCGCTTGTGAGAAATCTTTACCCTCCATAAGGGTAAAAATTTCTCCAAACAAATAATTATACGGAACCCGCAAAGGCACGCTACGCTACTAGTTCCCATGTCGTTACCGGTAACGAATTTTAATATCGAACTTAGTAATTAAGAACTGAGTCATTGTATAAGCATTATCTACAGAGATATACTT